CTTCTCTAATGCCTTGAGTTCTTCTTCAAGTTGTGCTTCAGTGGTAGCCTTAGCAATATGCCAGAAGTGTTTTTTCATAACCTTGCCTCTATGACTTTTACTCCAGTTAGCATGGACATGCCTTGCACAATTTCTATGCTCAATCCCAGGAAATAATTCTGCAATTATTTTACTTAGACCCTGCAAAATAGAATACACAATCAATTATAGGCAACAACCAGTAAATTATAGAATACCTTTTGTTGATCACTCATAATTGTCCAATCACTGCTGTCCCACATCCTTAGATCTGCCTTCAGCCCCTACATCCCCTCTTATTTCTGCCCCAACATCACCCTCACTACCAAATTCAAACCCATCCAAGTCTATTTCAATATCACTCAAACAACCAGATTGGGCCCTATTATCATTTTGTGTTTCTGCAGTTTCAGGGTAAGGCAAAGTCATAATGGAAACCAGTTCTGGATCATCTAAGCCATGTTCAACATATATTTCACATTTCTTACCCTTCAAAGTAATCTGAACTAAGTGCAAACTGCTGGCATCATTATTTAACAGCTTCAAACACTTAAAAGATTCTTCAGGTAATTTGTATGTTATTGATACAATGTTTCCATATCTTTGCTCTTTTATGTACTTCATAAGATGTGGATAGCATACCAAGTCTGGGTCAACTTTTACAGATTCTAATTCTCCACCTACATACTTAAGGCTAGGGGTTTTTACAAAGTTACCACCATGGTGAATAAGTAATTCAATACAATCTGACATCCTGAAATAGAATAAGTAAATGCACAATATAAAAATCACAAGCAGACAAAACTAATCTGTTTCACATGTTTTTACAAATATTAAATACACAAACTCAAAAGCAAAACAACCAAACCATTAAAGAGTAGTGTTTTGTAGGACCCCCACAGGACCACATTACACTTTCCTACAGATTGTCTGGACCACACACAACAACAAGCATCTTTCTTTTTCAAAAAACAAAGCAAGACCACTTAAACTATTTACCACTTTATATAACAGCAAAGCAACAAGAGAAAAGCAAAGCATTTGACAGTAGCAAAGGAAGCATTCGACAGTAGCAAAACAAAGCTTACCTTGGTGCTCGTCAATGGCGTCGACGGGTAGTCCACCACGCAGGTCTTCTATGTCGTCAATTGTTTGCTTCTCCACCAACGTCAATGTTGTCGAGCTTAGTATTCGAACTGGGGATTGGGTATTTGGAAACTAATTTCTCCACTATATGTACGCTAGGGTTTAGGAAGTACGAATTGGGGATTTGGGAGCAATTTCAGGAAAATGAATGAGTTGTTTGTTTGTTTTTGCCATGTGTTTTTTATTTTTTGATATTCTTTGTCATGTCAACAAGGCACCTAAGCTTAACCGGAACACATCATCAGCAATGGGGTGGTTACCTGCGAAACAGGCTAAACGAACAAATTTAGAAAGTTAGTTGGGCTGATTACACTATATTTTAGTCCGTGGGTGGAATTGAACACTTCGCCACAAAGTTTGAAATTATTTATTTATTTTTGACCAAATGCATTTCTCAAATGTGTTGGTCATTTTTGGTAACATAGTTAGTTTATCAGTTAATTTTGACTTTTTGACTATTATTAGTTGTTTCACTTGGTTAAATAATTAATGTAAGTGTTTGATTAATTAGTTTTTTGTAATAGTTTATTGTTCCAAAATGTTAAAATTCAAAAAACTGTTCAAAGCAGCTTTTTAAAAAAAAAAAAAACAAAAAAGTTATTTTGCATGTAATCAACGAATAGTTAATTTACCAAACATCTTTCTACAATTAGCTAAAGGTATCAATTAATCAAATCCATTAATTCAGTCAACTAACAGCTATTTACCAAATACCCTTTAGTTTATCACACAGGTTAGAAAGTCTATTCATCTCCCCTAGAATTTTTCCTAGTTATATGGGACCATCCAATAGTTGTAGAGCAAATCATGCATAAAATCCTTCCAATATTGTAGAGCAACTAAATGGAAAATTCACTTGAAAGAAATTTATTTTCTCTATAATATGTAAACCAAACAAATTTTTTTTTTTTTTTTGGATTAAGGGTCAAATAGGCCATCGAACTGCACATGATAATACAATTAATCTGTTGGAAACCTACAAATTAGAAGAATTGTTTGAAATTGGTTAGTTTAGGGACCGAATTGTTGGTTTTTTAGGTTCAGTAACCTAATTGCATTATCGTGTGCAGTTCGATGGCCTATTTGACCCTTATTTTTTTTTTCTTTTTCTTTTTTCTGAAAGCTACTGTTACACCAAACAATGTAAATTTTGTAAGTTACAAATTAGTGGTTCTACAAAAGAGAAATGAGAATAATAAAGTGCTACGATATAAAATGAGATTAGTAGTTCAATGGTTTATGTAGACACCTATAATTATTTTTTATTAAATATACTCTCACAATGGATGATATTAAATTTCGCTAATTAATATCATTAGCAATAAATAATAAATTTATATATGTAATTGATGAATGTCATGATCATATATTTATGAGTCATTGGATGATAATATTTATTTATGAGAAAATGTCACTTTTTTCCACTGAGTTATATGCTTATAGCACTTTTTTCCCTGAATTATTCATGTAAGCACATTAGCCCCCTCAATTATTCTAACAGTGACGGATTTTCCCTCTGATATATTAAATTAACATTTCTACCCTTAAAATAAACATCTTATTTATTTTTCTTCTTCAACAAATTATTGCGTATACGTAGGGATGACCACAGTTCGATTCGAATTGAACCGGACACTTTAGCAATCGAATTAAAAGTTTTCGGTTATGATTCAGATCCAGAACCCAATATTTGGATTTCAGTTTATTAAAATTATGAATCGAAAAAACTGGATCCTGAACTGTGAACCGGCGATTTCGGATCTGGTTCGCGATTTTGAACCGTCTTTATTTTAAAATTTTATTTTTTATTTTAAAATAGCCTAAATTCAACAATAAATGTATTTTTTTTTTCAGTTCGGAACATGAACTTGCCGTCTCGGTTCGCGATTTTAATAAACTCTAAATATCGGGTTTCGATTCTAAATTGTAATTAGAATATTTCGGTTTGGTTGATATAGTGTATGTTTGGTTTGAACCAAATTGTGGTCATAATTTGTTGGAAATATGTACATTTAATATTTCAGGGGGGAAAACAGTCACTTGAATAATTCAGGAGGAAAAAAGTGCTATAAGTATATAACTCAGGGGAAAAAATGTCATTTTACCTTTATTTATTTAAAAAGTCCTCACTCGACGTTTGGTTAGAGGGAATTTAAATTCCATTCCCATTTAATTCTCCCATAATTTCAAAGACCACTAAATTCCATAGTTTGGTTGAAAGGAATTGCAATTCCCTCATTTTCATGGAATTAGAATCTCATGGCCCCCTGGGATTTTAATTCCATAGATTTTATGAAGAAAAAAAAAGATAATCATGAGATAAAATTACCCCTCCCTCTTTTTAACCTAAAATTGATGTCTCTTTCCCTTCTAGATGACAGCCACATATTATTCTTCGATCAACAGAGCTCTTGAGTAGAGCCGTCAAAAATGGGTTTTACCCGCCGGGTCGACCCGTCCCGTACCGCCAAAGATAGGGGAGGTAAAATTACCCCTCCCTCTTTTTAACCTAAAATTGATGTCTCTTTCCCTTCTAGATGACAGCCACATATTATTCTTCGATCAACAGAGCTCTTGACTCAAGCCGTCAAAAATGGGTTTTACCCGTCGGGTCGACCCGTCCCGTACCGCCATAGATAGGGGACGGGTTCTTCAAATTTTGATCCGCCAGGAGGCGGGCTTTTTAGCCCGTCCCGCCTGGGTCACGGGTCCAGGCGGGGCGGGTCAGGCGAGTCACGGGTTTAGCCCGCGACCTGCTAATACATATATATTTTGTATATATATTTAGTATTTAATACATGTTATTTTGGTTTGTATAATTGTGTTAGTGTGTTATAACTTTATAGGATTATAGATTTATAAGAATACAATACTAGGTAGTGTTACTGTGTTAGTGTACTGTATGTCTGTACAGTGATTCTTTTATTTTTTTTAAGGATATTGTACAGTGATTTTTAAAAAAAAAAAAAATTAACACAGCGAAAAATTTTGATTGGCGGGCTAGCCCGCCCCGCCAGCGGGCTTTGACATGGCGGGGCGGGCCAGCCACATTCCAAGCCCGCTAAGAGGCGGGCTTTTTAGCCCGTCCCGCTACGAGGACGGGCTTTGGTGTGTTTTGGCCCGCCCCGCCCTGCGAGACCGTTTCGACGGCTCTACTCTTGAGCAATAATCATTCTAGGTCAACCTTAATCAAGTATGTTTTCTCAAAACTCTCACGTATTTAAATTTGATGTGTATATAGCGTAGGTGATATGTTTGTTTATAATAGCGAATGAATCTATCCTATAGTGAATGACGTCAATTGTGTTCGCATTATGAATAGTGTCAATTTTATAATTGCATTATTTCATTCTTAAATTATGAATGTCGTGAATTTTATAATTGCATTATTTCATTCTTAAATTATGAATGGCGTGAATTTTATAATTGCATTCTGCCATTCTTTATATGCATTGTTTATATACAGCTAGGTCGTGTATGTTTAATGATAATGATAATGATAATAATGATAATAATAATAATAACAACAATAATAACAATAATAATAATAATAATAATAATAATAATAATAATGATAACAATAATAATAACAATAATAACAACAACAGCAACAACAACAACAACAATAATAATAATAATAATAATAATAATAATAATAATTTTATACTACTTATTCCTGCAAACCATACACTACTTATTTTATACTACTTATTCCCTTTCAATTCCCATGTATACCAAACATTAGAATTAAAATTCCCAGTAATTTTATTCCTGCAAACCAAACACTAGAATTTAAATTCCTACTTTTTTTTTTGAAAGGAAAAGATGAAACTTCATTAAGCATCAATAAGAGATGAGATACATGTTGGTGACACAGAGAACCACGAACCTAAGCCAGACACAGAATCCATAGCCCGTGCTAAGACATGAGCTAAATGATTCGTTGACATGTTGACATGGCGAACACAAAAGTTCCCAATGTCTGAGGCAAGCACTCGACATTGCCTTACAATCAAACCAACATAGGAAAGGTTCAAAGCAACAGAATTAAAAGCTGAGCAGAAATTTAAACAATCAGTTTCTAGAATAACATTATTAAAGTGATTGATCTTCAAGCATTTGAGAGCTTCCTTGACCGCCATGAAAGGATCATTAAAACAGTTTAACTTTGCACCATGAGCAGCTACGAACTTACCCTCCTCATTTCGTACAACCACACCAACTCCTACACCATTAGTGAAGACAGCTGCATCAACATTGCATTTTAGGTAGCCCGCCGGGGGAGGACTCCAGACCGGTGGATTAGACCCAGTTCTGCTACCTCCAGCCTGACCGTACGCCTGCATCCACAACAAACAAGTAGCATGCATCCACATGGCTTTGCCTGGAAGACAACGATGGAATGTTGTTCCCCATACTGCCTCATTCCGTGAAAACCAAATAACCCAGATCAGAGAATCGTCGCCACCTTCATCATTATATTTCTGCAGAATTGAAGTGAATGAAGCCACAACAACATTCATAAATTGGTATAAGTTCACAGCTCCATTTAACCCATTAACACCCCATAACGGCTTGGTACATTGGCATTCGCAAAATATATAGGTGATCAACGGTTTCATAATCATAATCACAGAATGGACAACCACCACCTGCAAACGTAACACTCGTTTTGTAATCAAAGCTTCTCTAACCGGCAGCACCTTTCTCATACACCTCCACAAAAAAAAAAAAAAAAAAAATCCTTACTTTTGGCGGTATGGGCATTTTCCATAATTTCTTCCACTCCATAAATTCATGCTGAGAACCCGTGTTGCTTCTGTTCACCATCAAGGATCGATACCCATGGCTGACTGTATAGCTTCCATTAATGTCATCCTTCCAATACCATTATATTTGTCCTCATATATAATCCAACGAAACAGGAGATGCAAGCTAAGGATTCTAGGAATATCATTAGCTAGCTAAAAAGATGTCATGCAGTATCTCCAAATCCCACTCACCCTTTCATTCCTCAACTCCTCCACCATGGGCGTACTAAGCGCTGGATTTGTTCTATCCACCAGCGCAGCCAGGGGTACGGTACGGTACCCCTTATTGATGTGCCAATTCTCCTTGCCACACTCTTTCCTGCCAGTATTGATCTCCATAAATAACTTGGATTATTTCCCAATTCCGCATCCAAAAAGTCAGTAGCAGGATAATAACGTGCCTTCATAACTCGATCTACTAACAAGAGAGTCCAAGCAGGTCAACAAACGCCATCATATCCCTGTTTAGCTAGGAGGGCTATGTTGAAATCATGAAAAATTTTTGGAGTGCAGAGTCTAACCCTCTACTGGTAGTTCCATTATTCTCCCACCAAAAATGACTCATAAGACTTTCAAGCCTGTCCTGTCACATACATTCAAAGGGAGTAAATAAATTGACATAGTAAAGATTGGTAAAGCTTGACCTATGCTCTTCAGCTTGCTTTTGATATTAATTTACTTCGCCAGGAGGTCACACCATCCCTTAATTTCTGCTCAACAAATCGAAGGCAGCCCTAACTAAATATTTTCCCAGATCATTCGTTTGACACACTTCAAGCTAAGGTAGATGGCAATAAAGTGTCGCATATCACTTGGAGTACTTGCAGTACTGAACATAATATTGGACTTATCAAAATTAATTCTCTGCCCCGACGCTGCACAGTAATCATCCATAGTCGTTTTCACCACCTCCATTTCGCGTGGACAAGCTTTAAAGAAAAGGAGGGAATCATCTGCAAACAAGCTAAGAGGTGGCCGGCCTGGGAGACAGACGGTGCGTTTCTTGCTATTTTAATACCGTGCAGATCAGATCTCCACAAGATTCTGCCCGATTAAGAAGCGTAGTAAGGCCTTGAGAACATATGATGAACAAATAAGGTGACAAGGGATCCCCTTGACGTAGGCACCACATTCCCAACCGATTCATCATTCACAGTGACGTTATACCTCACTGTCGTCACACACATTAGTAATAACTGAATCCAGGTAGGATCAAACCCTAATCATAGCAACATACCTTAGCTTCTAAAAAAATTCCACTCCATCCGGTCATAAGCCTTTAAGGCCGCCCAACCAACAGCACCATGTCTCGTCCTCCGAAGATAATGGCCTACCTCCCCGGCTAACAAAACATTATCTGATAGCAACCGGTCCTTGATGAACGCATTCTGAGTCGTCGGAGATATAACACTATCAAGAACTTCTCTCAACCGGTTGGCTATGACCTTGTAAGCCACATTACAAAGAGCAATCGGCTCCCCGACTTTTTCTGGTACTTTTTTCTTCGGTATGAGAACAATGGTGGTACGTGTTATTTAACCCCTCGATCTGGAATTTCCCTTATGTTCAAACATCCCAGAACAAAGCAGCATAAATCATGGCCAACAATAGACCAAAACCTTTGATAAAAAGAGGGTGTCATACCGTCCGGTCCGGGGGATTTCTCCGGTGCCATTTGAAAAAGGGCGTCTTAATTTCACTTCCTCATGCGTAAAGGTGCGGAGAAGCCGGGCATTCATGTCATTTGTTACACGCTTCTGAACATGGTGAAGAAAATTATAAGAAGTTGGAGCAGTACTAAAGATGCCGCAATAATAGTCCAGGATTACCGATTTCATGCAAGCCCCTTAGCTTCTACCCAATCATTATCAGAATTTTTTATATATGCGAACCAGAAAGTTTGATCGCTTAGCTTGCGTGTAGAAGCAGATTTATGAAAAAACTTTGTATTACTATCCCCCTCCTTAAGCCATAGCATTTTAGATCGTTGCCGCCAATATACCTCCTCCGATCCTGCAATGATAGAGTAGAAAGTTCATGCTGCGCTGTAAGGTAGTCACCGACGGCCACGCAATCTATTAAATTCCTTACTTTATTTCTACATTATTTATATTACATGAATTAGTCAATAATTGATCATGCGTTTTCTTCTTGAAAAAAGAATATGTAAATAATAACATGTGCCATTGTGCATGTGTTCATTATAGACTTTCATAATGGTGTTATTTATTTTATTATTATCAGTGTGTGTTGGTTATATTAATATTATTAAAATATAAACATTTTGATAATATTACTCATGTCTAAAGACTAAATTTTATATGAAAGATCTATCAAAACTAAGTATTGTATCGACTTGTAGATTGAGTATCTAAAAATTTTTTACACGAGTTAACTTACCTTAAAAAATATCTTAGAGAATCTCTCGCAGTATATAAGGAATCATTTAGACTTAAAGAAGATAATATAAATATTTTAGGATCATAAGTCCATTACTCCATTATTGCTTAAGCACTAGTTCAGGACTAGAAGTTTCATAATCGCATCAAACTTGCAATTGTATTTGGTGTGAATTTGCTAGCAATATTTAGAATGTGTTTGGTTTGCACATGCAAAAGAACCGAAATTAGAATGAAAATCAAATACTTGATAATGACAATGAGTTTTGATAGAGTCGGCGCTAGACATGTTACCCAGGCCATTGCATAGGACCCCCAATTTTTGGGGCTCCATAAATATATATATATATATATATATATATATATATATATATATATATATATACATCAGGCAGTAGCCTGCTGTATAGTATATATAAATATAATATTTTGTCTTTTTTACAATTGGCCCCCAAATTTTGGGGGGCCAATTGTAAAATAAAAAAAAAATTATATATTATGGATGAAGATCAAGTGAGGATAGTGTCTTAGGTGAGGATTGTGGATTATTATTAGTCTTCAAATGAAAGAAATAAACGGTTGAGATTATACAAAAGGTGAGATTTAAAGCCCAAGTTGTGGGGGGGGGGGGGGGGGGAGGGGTAAAAGGGTAAATGGATTGTGACTATGGCATGGTCGAGTAAGGCAACTGTGAAAAAACTAATAGAATTCCTTAGGGATCAAAAGCCTTTTTTTGGGTGAGATGTTGATCTTTAACACTCAATTGAGGCAAACCTATGCATAATCGAACAAAAACCTATAGAATAGGCGAGTAGGTTACCATCGGAATCCATGGACGAGACAACACCCTGGCGAAGTCAACGGCGAGCAACGTTGGAAGTAGCGAATAGAATCCGTAAGTATCTGTTTTTGGTTTGTTTTAGATTTTTTTTTGTGGTTATTAAATCTTTGTTGATGTTGTCGTTGACAACAAGATTAATTTTAAAAAGGGAAAAAATTATAACAAAAAAATCAGCCACACATCAAGCAAAGATCAATGGTTAATATTAATCCACACTCCTCATACGAGCAAGTGTCCTCATTTGATCCTTTACCTCATGAGGATAATCTCTTTTCCTATTATCTAATTTCTAGGTCAATAGGTCATAATCAACAATTCATTACCCTCATTGAGTCCCTCCCCCCCCATCAAACAATTGATAATTATTAATTAAAACTTATTAACTTAATTTTACATATTTGATTTATTTCACAATAATTATTTATAGACATGGCTTATTGACTTAATAATTTTAAATATTGAATAATATATTCAAGAGTTTGTTTCTTAATAAATTCCTAAATTATTTATTGATAGAGATTCTAAACAATTTTTTTTCTTAAGATTTTGTAACGATGTTTTCTAGAAATATTCATCTGGGTCTGAGAAGCATAATAAAAAAAGTTGAATTGAACAACTAACTCAATCTAAAAAGGGAGCTCTTGAAAAATTCACTACAAAAGAATATCAAATAGAAGAGCAACAGAATGATGCCAATGAAAATTTGTTACATGCTAATCTTCACAAAGAAAATCAAGGTGATTGTGAGACTGAAAAAAATTTAAATGATAATGTGCACAACAATGATAAATATCACTGTGACATTGAAAATGATAAGAATGTTGATGGTTTTTTAGATGATGGTGGTCACAATGATAAACCAAATAATTCGTTTTTTAAGAAATAAGGATGCCCTTAATTCTAGATTAATAGATATTCTTATTAAAATGGACCCAAAATTAGATGTTGCACAGGACCTCTATTTGTATTGGAATGGCCCTGAGTTTTGGTGAAAGTATTTTGCATGTTTGGTAATAGGGTGGAATTGGAATGATTATCAATATTGATGCTTGGTTATGTATGACCCTATAATGAAAATAAACGTTTTAAAAATGCAAAAATAAAAAATTAAGGCAATTGATCATAATATAATGTCATCCAAAACACCAATATAAACAATAAAAATCAAAACAAAAATCTAAAAGCACTAATACAAACTTAAAAATCAGATGACCAATAAGATAGAATGATACACATCTTTAATTATATTAGAGAATAAAGTTTTTAATTGAAGGGGTAATTAATTCACATAATTGTGTTTTAAAAAGTTGTCAACCAAACACTAACATGCCATGTTTGGTAACATAGTTAGCTTATCAATCAATTTTGGTTTATTTGACCACTATTAGCTGTTGGACTTGGTTAAATAATCAATATGAGCGTTTGATTAATTAGCTTTTAAGTAACAACTTATTGCTAAAAACTTTGTGATCAAGTGGCATGAAGTGACTTTTTCAAATGGAAAATCATGGATTTGAGTCTCAATGGAGGTAATATTAACTTGATTTTTTTACAACACTATTATTAGAATTGTTTATAAATATCATTTTGAATTAAGTTCCACAATACAATGTGGACCATAATTCATGATATAACAATTGATCAAATATAACTTTATTCAGGGGCGGAGTCAGGATTGAATAGTGCAGGGGGCCAACTACGGTTGAAATACTAAATCAAATATATTGATATCCAGTTAACATATTTCAAAATAATGATTACATTACAAATTTAATAAAGTTTAGAATAAATAATTTATAATTGAATCTATATTAAATTATTTTGTAATATGCTTTTCAATGCACATTATTTTGTACAGTTGAAAAAATGAAAACATTTACGCATGTTTTAAAAAGACTATTTATTATTTCTTGAAAACTACCATATTCACAACATAACATAATAACAATTATTTTCTTAAATACATATACTACACAATTTTTACATTATTATGCATGTTAAATTAAATACAACATTTATCACGTAACCACAAATCTGCATAATTAACCAAACAAATACACCTTCAATCATATTAATCATATCCATTTGGGTCTAAAATATACAATTTGAATGTTCAATTCACAATTTTATAAAAGATAAATTGTGAGCATTAAATATATAAATTGTGAAATTCAATAGATAAATTGTGTATTTTAAGGTTTGAGATCTCAACGCTGTAGACAAGGAGTTGAGATTCAATGTGTATTGGATTCAAAATCAAGTCACAGAGATGAATTCTGCTTTCAAAAAAAGATTGGCAGGTCTAGCCCCTCAGCTCCCTAGCAGATGTTGGAGGTTTATTAATTGGTTGAAACTACCAACGGGGTGGACGAAAATTAATGCTGACGGAAGCTTGAATCTGTAGAATAACATGAGTACAGGGTGTGGTTGGCAGGGCCGGCTTTTAGATTTTGGTGGCCCCGTTCGGGTAAATAAATGAGACCCTTCCAAAATCACAATCTTTAAAATCAATACCGTATTTTGGAATAATAATAATTGTTGACTCAAATACCTTGTCAAAGTTATGTGCAAAAAGGATTCCAGTTATATGAAGGAATATTGTCCTAAAAGGAATAGATATTGAAGAATACTAGTTCTAAGAGGAATTGTTATTGAAGATCTTCTAGTTCTAGTTTGACTAGGAATAACATTATTATTCACAAATCTGTTAGAAGTAGCTACTATAAATAGGGGTTGTCCTTTATCACAGAAATCAAGCATTCAACATTAATCTGGTGAGGTATGAGAGTCTTTGAGAATAAGATACTAAATTCCCCTAGAAAGTAGTACACGTGTTTAGGTTTCAATAGTTTGGTAGGAAAGATCATTCTATTGTGTAATCTCAGGTTCCAAACAGTGTACTTTAAATATTGAGCTTTTAGTGGATTTAGGTAAATTCTCAAATTGAGAAGTGCCTCGCAGATTAGGGTTGTTTGCCCGAACTGCGTTACAAATTGTTTGTGTTACAACTTCAGTTTCGAAATTACAGTGTGCTGCGCTCTACAAATTTTCAATTGGTATCAGAGCCAAACTGCTTAAGTTACTAGCAGGATCCTAATGAAGTTTCCAAGAGAAGGACTATCTAACACAGAAGGGATACAGTGCTATGAGTGCAAAGGGTTTGGACACATTCAGTCAGAATGTCCAACATACTTTAAAAGGAAGAACAAAACATATGTGACAACTCTAAGCGATGACTCAAACAGTGAAGAAGATACCAACACTAATTTCGTAGCATTCACCACAAATCATGAGAATGACAACGGAAACGAAAATGATATACAAGAACTGCTAGAGTCATATACACAGTTGCATGCTAAATGGGAACAAATCATCAAAGTAAATCTTGAACTCATACATGAAAATCAGTTTCTAAAAGATGAAAAAGAGAGTAATGAAAAACGCCTTAAAGATACTCATAATGAATTAATGGAATCGAAAGGCAGAGAGGCCAAACTATTACAAGAGATCAAGGCACTAACTGAGAGGCCTAGATCTCCAAATCCAGCATCCAATGAAAGTCATTCTTCTGAAATTCCTGAAGTGTCGCAACATCACTTCCAACACCGAAAGAGGATCAGATGTTATTACTGTCACAGACTGGGGCACATAAAAGCATACTGCTTCAAAAGACAAAATGATCTGTATTACAGACAAATCAACAGAGATTGGTCAGTACAAAGCAAGAAAATTTGGGTAAGAAAAGATCAAAATGTTGCCTACACCTCAAAAACTAGCAAAGAACAAAACGTATGGTATTTTGACAGCGGTTGTTCAAGGCATATGACTGGAAATCCAGAAAATCTGGAAAACATTCAGTATAAGAATAAAGGACATATTACATTTGGAGATGGAGGAAAAGGCCAGATCATTGCAAGCGGCATCTTAAATGTCCATGGGCTGCCTAGGTTGCCAAAAGTCCTCCTAGTACAAAGTCTAAAAACAAATCTAATCAGCATAAGTCAGCTTTGTGAAGATGAACTCAAAGTAGAATTCTCTAAAGACAATTGCATTGTGTTTAATCAGAATCACAAGTGTGTCATGATGGGAAAAAGGTCCGCAAACAAATGATATACATGGGATGGTGACCTATCTGGTTTACAGATAACCAACAAGCAAAAACAATCACGGCACCAACATATGAGACACATAAATTCTCATGACATCAAAGGGGACCTAGAAATATTCCTAGACTATTCAGGTTATTCATCAAACAGTAAGACTTTCAGTGTAGACAGTACTATGGAATCCATGAATGTGGTTATTAATGACACAATTTCAAGAATAATCACTAATGATGACGAAAGTCCCAGAGTTGTTGAAACAACTGTTCTAACACCTTTGACTACTGTTATGCAGAATCACAAAACAGAAACAGAACCAGATGAAAAAAGGATAATGGCTCTGCAACGATCATTATGAGCCCTGTTCTGATTTCACAAGAACCCTACCAAAATATTCAAGACGAACGCGAACCACCTCCAGCCTGTTTGTGCGACACAGCCCTGGAGGGAAAGGGTGGTCTGGCGGTGGAAACGGAGCGTTTTCCAGCGATGATTATGTCACCGGAAATTGGAAAAATTCCAGTTTCGTCTAGGTTATCCCATGAAGATCAGATCGGATATTTTAGAGATCATTTGGAAGAACTTTCACCGGATTTTGTGTTATTTCCAGAAATTAATGATGGCGCAGAGTTAGTACGTTTGAAATTCCGGTCAGGAAATATAGATGCGATCGTAAGGCAGAAGAGACCGATTGATGGAATCTCAGTGGATTCATGTTTGCATGGCCAGAATACATCTCCGATTAAAAGAATTCTCGACAGATTGTCTCAGCTTTAGCGTCGCGCTCCTCCGATGTGCAATTTCCCTTCGGGATGTCGTGATTGAGGAGAAGTGATGAAATCAAAGGCGTTGGCGGTAATAACAGAGGAAGAATAAATCAGAGGAGAAATAAGTTGTGATAGGCTGATTTAATTGGGAATTTAAAAAAAAAAAACAAAAAACAAATCATACTCAAAGATAGCACTCACCAATAACAGGAGAAACATGGAATCAGTTAAAGGGGAAATGAGTCAAATGACAAGCTTTTTATGGAATCAAGGATTTTGTCAAAAATTTGACAAAGGGGGAAATTGTTGACTCAAAGACCTTGTCAAAGTTATGTACAAAAAGGATTCCAGTTCTATGAAGGAATACTATCCTAAAGGAATAGATATTGAAGAATACTAGTTCTAAGAGGAATTGTTATTGAAGATCTTCTAGTTCTAGTTTGATTAGGAATAGCATTATTATTCACAAATCTGTTAGAAGTAGCTACTATAAATAGGGGTTGTCCTTTATCACAGAAATCAAGCATTCAACATTAATCTGGTGACTTCCCGATGTTCTTTTATAGAACTATTTGAGTGTCTTCTTGATGTTTCGTATGTCTAGAACTATATGGTAGGATTCCATGTAGGTTTTGGTGTCGTGAATCGTGCTAAGTGTTCAACATTGTGATTCGTTGAACCGTGATGAGTCTTGTGTGTTCTTCGGAACTACGTTTGGTTTACCTGTTTGATAAGCATGCTAGTTCGGTGTTTAAATGCTAGCGTGTGTGTTGTTTGTACCTTCCTATTGGTTGATGATAACTTGTGTTATTCATCGTTGTTGTTGTTGGGCTGTGACCCATTCCTTGATTGAGTATGGTTTCATATCTTCGTTGTGATCCTTTGATTGATTCCGGTTGAGGTGTGATGCGTGTGTGGCTTTACCTAGATTGCACGATTAGTGGTATGGGACCCTAGTCACCAAGGTATTGCAGCAGTCCTCGTGGTGGCCGTGACGTGATTATGGAGTTGTGACCTTTGTGTAACGTTCACGTGATTCTTGGGTGGCATGTGTTGCCGTGTGTGTGTACGGTACCTCGTGTACTATGAAATTGGTGGTCTCGTTGGTGGGGGACGACGGTCCCAAGAGGGAAAAGGTTGGACTTGGTTGTACAGGGGTCTTGGAGGTAATGGTTGGAAGAAGATACAAGGTTGGGGGTAGCCATAAGGTTGGAACCGGGCATAAGGAAGGCATATCAACTCGTGATGGGTGATGTCACGAGGGCTTGTGTAGCCGTTGTTATGAGTTCTCTTTCTTGTGACGTGTGTAGTCACAAGGGCATGTGTTGCCATCGGTCTTGTCTTTATCCTTTGTGTGGTGGTTATCCTTTGTGGTTTTGGGACGTGTTCCCGTATCCTTGATTGAGAGAGTGTTGAGTCTTGTGTTGACTACTGCTCTTGGTTTTGTACTTATATACTTATGTATTCCGTTTCGAAAATGGCTTTACAACTTATATCTTACTTATGTATGTTATTTCACATGTATTGGTGGGTTACCAGCTTTATTCGCTGACCAGGTGTCGTCCCATGTTTTATTGTGTTCTTTCAGGTGATGTCTAGGCGAGTGCGCAGTCTAGTGCTTGCTAGTGTAGCTTCTCTCGTTTGTTTTATGGCCTGTGTGCCGGTTTAGTTGTAGACTTCTGAGACTATGGATTAGTTGTAAACAATGTAGATATTGCCGTAGCGTTCATCCTTTTGGTGAACGTGGCATAACACCCCCGTTGTTTTGGGTTTATGTTTATCTAGTTACCTTTCAGTCTTCCGCTGTGATTGTTGTTTAGTTCAGTTATCTGCTTGTTTAAGGCTTTTAAATAGCTTGTTTTTAGGGGGTGTTACATTATGGAATAATAATAATAATAATAATAATAATAATAATAATAATAATAATAATAATAATAATAATAATAATAATAATGTTTGCAAACTCGCAATGCAGAAATGATTTAAAAAAGACTAAGTCGCAATGCAAAAATGATTATTAAAAAAGGTAAGAAGCAGCTCTAAAATTTCGATCCTCTGACCTTTAAGTTAAATTAAAATACAATAAATACATGTTCCTACCATTCCTCCATGGAGCCTTTTAAGTCTAGACTTACTAAGTGGCTAAGTGTGGTTTGAGGATTTAAGCGACCTTAAGAATCTAAGTATTAGGCTTAAGACTCTAGGTTGCTCGGTGAGCTGAGTGTTGCCTTCTGTTCTTTGCTTGTTTGCTATCTTTTGGTAACCGTGTTGTTTTTGTAGAAGTTTGCGATGCCTCCTCGTTCCCGAGCTCGCACCCCGGAGACCCAATGAACGAGCAGCTCGCTCAGAATCTCTACCAGCTGACGCAGACGATGTAGACGCTCAATGAAGCCTTGCTGAACAACAACCACGTTGTGCCGCCTCCTCAACCTGCTGGGCACCGCGATATGGGTCGCTTGGTGTCGGGACATAAGCCGCCAACCTTCGCGGGTGAGGAAAACCCGGTGGTTTTGGAAGAATGGATGAGGGCGTTCGACAAGATCTTCGCGGTTGTAGGTTGTCCCGATGAGAGAAGGGTAGAACTAGCAACGTTCTACTTCTGCCAAGAAGCTGATCTGTGGTGGGTCCACGAGGGTCCGACCTTCCTTGAAGAGCCTGAGTTTGGTTGGTCCGCGCTTAAGGATAGGATGCGCGAGAGGTTTTACCCAGCACATGTGCGAGCCGCCATGTTTGATGAGTTCCTTCACCTGCAGCAAGGATCCCTGTCTGTGGTCGAGTACCACAAGAAGTTTTTGGAGTTGGCGCGCTTTGCTAGGATGTTTGTGCCTACGGAGCTTGCTAAGGTTGAGAGATTCGTTGCCGGTCTGAATTATGAGGCATGCAAAGCATTGACGGTAAGTAGACCAAGTTCCCTTAAGGATGCGTATCTGAGTGCCGCGGATCTGTATCGCGTTCAGCAGCTTCAGAAAGGATCTTATGAGCTAGCTAGGAAAAGGGTTGAGAGCGGAGGTTCTTCTACCTTCAAGAAACCATGACCGGGTTTTCAGGCCAAGAACGTGTCATCTTCGTCTCAAGGACCAATCAGGTTAGAGCACCGGGATCAAGCCAAGACGGTTGTTTGCCGTAGATGTGGGAAGGTGCACGCTGGTCAAGATTGTCACGGCCAAGTGTTTCGGTGTTTCCGATGTGGAGATCGTGGTCACAAAGTCGCGGAGTGTCCCCAGCAAGCCGGTCAGAGAGCGTTGCCACCACCCCCGGGAGCCAGAGGAGCCCAAGGAGGTAGTTCGGGTCGTGGAGCAGTTGGAGCTAGGCCACCAGGGAGAGTCTTCGTGATGGGGCGTTCGCAGGTAGAGTCTGAGGGTCTGGTGGAGGAGGAGTTGACAGGTAATCCTATCCTAGCCTATCCTTGTTTTTCGCGAATATCGTGTTCTTTGTTGTCTTGAAGTGTCATCTTGTGCTTCGTTGTTGTCTATATGAGTTACTTGGCAATCTTTGGTATGCTTTTCTTTGGTAGTGGTTCTTTTGGAGTTAAGTGTAAACTCTTCTTGTTAAGTGACTTCTTTAGTTTGGTATATAAGTTTTTTTGTGAAGTTAGCTATCCATCTTTGGAATGAGTTGTGCTTGGGTTAATTCTACAATCCTTGCACTTAGCTGTCCTTGCAACCTTTCCTTTGTGAACCCTCTAAATTTCCCAAGTATTCTTTGAAAGTTGAAATAGCAAATCCATACCAAAAATACTTCCCAAGTATTCTTTGAAAGTTGAAATAGCAAATCCATACCAAAAATCCTTTCTTGTGTAGCTTAAAAACCAAGCCAAAATGTTTAAGTGTAATCCTTAAGTTTCAAACCCAAGCTTACTCTTTGCTAACCTAACCTCTAAACCACTTAAGCTAATTGTCTTCCTTAGAACTTACTCAATTTTAATCCCATTTAAACCATAAATCCTCATCTTTCCCCAAATCCCCAAATTAAATCATCTTTTCCCCAATTTTTTCCCAAAATCCCTAAATTTCCCAAAGTCTTCTTCTTCTTCTCTTTTCTCTACCCGTGAGACCACCGAAACCCACCCCCCTACCCGTCGCCACCAGCAGCCCCACCCGCCGACACAGCTGCCCGACACCGCCTCGCCGTCTGCCACTGTGACGCACCGCCGGAGCTACTCCCACCGTGCCGCCTGGTTCGCCGGATCTGTGTTGCCGAGAGAGAGAGAGAGAGCAGCGAGAGAGAGAAGAAAAGAGGAAAAGTCTTGGGTCCTTTTTGTTAAGCTTTGGGTCATCATCAATCATGCCTAGAAGGTCAAGTTTGGCAAGAAAAGCGGAATGGGTGGATGCCCATTACCTCGTCCTTGAAGGTAAAGCTTTTGATCCGGAATCTTTTCCTGATTCTTTGTTGGATATGCTTAGATTTCAAGGTTTGTTGGATGGGTTTCTCACCATAAGGGTTGAGACTTACCCGAGTTTGGTAAAGGAATTTTATCGTCACATGGTCGTGACAAAGGAAGGTGATAAGCTTGAGATCACTTCTAAAGTGAGAGGTGTGAAGGTTGTGCTTTCTGAAAAGAGGCTGGCTCAGCTTTTGAGTTTATCTGCTT